ACATTTGATATAAAATTTAAATTTCAAAAACTAAATGTTACAAAAAATAAAAAAATATATATTATATTTAATATTTTTCAAAAGTTTAAAAGACAACTTGTCTCCGTCAATTTGCCTAGACAAACCTAGACAAACATTCCGTTAATTTTGTTAACGGAATGTTCGTGGAACAAATCATTTTGAAACAAAATTGATAATTTATAAATTATTTGAAAGAAAAAATTATTTCTAAATTAAACTGAAATAAATCACATAATTAATAAATTATTTATTAAATTTAACCATTAAATAGGTAATTATAAGTACTAGTTTCAACCGTAAATCTCCAGAGTGTGATTATCAGTGGTCAATTTAAAGAGTTAAGGTCAGCACTCAACCATTCCGAGCATACCTTCTGTGAAAATGAGACATTCATTACTGCTTGGGATAGAAAAGCCCATAAATGCTATAGAAAGTTGAGTAACGAGACAACCCATGTCTTCATTTTTGGCTTTCTGCATCCTACTCCATGTACCTCAACATATACATCCAGTCATGCCAGCACAACAGATACTGAATAGCCAATGTACCTTAATGACCTTTAAAAGTTAAAATTATACAGGCTTTATACAAGCTACAAAGAGTAGGGGACCATGATACCTACTTACCATTTAAACGAACAAAAAAAAAAAAAAGAGGGTACAAGATGTGTCCAGCAACTTCGGCAGCTGCATGGGTGAGAACTGTTTGTGGGCATAAAATGCCTCGGAAATCTATGGTTAGTCAAGAGTACTTTGCTGCGTAAAACATGTCATCAAAACCATTTCCATACACATACACATCGCAAGATATCAGGCCCCAGGCCAGCCAGTCCCCATGTTGGTGTCATCAATGTCAACCTGTCAATTTTGCATTCATGAACTCAAAGAAGTAACATCTATAGTTTGTCGCCAATATGGCTGGTGCCAAGTTTCTAAAAAAATCCCTACCTGCTCGTCAAAATGAGATGGGATGTCAAAATCTGATCCTGATGCATTTGCAAACTCATCCAGTGTTTCCTGCATGCCCTGACACAATGTAAAATAAACTACAACTGCAGCAGAATACAAATTATGAATTGAGATACACCATGAGTGCTCTCTTTTTTATTACTATTATTATTCCGACCAAAAAGCAATACAAAATTGGTTATTTTCATAAACTTTTCGTAACAATGACATTTAGGCATATCTTATCATAGTTTACATCCAAGAACAAGCCTGCCAACCCCAGAATTTCGTCATAGGTCAAAAAGAAAGAAAATCACCTTTGCAACAAGATTCAAAGAATTTGTTCTCTGAGAACCAAGTACGTAAAATGAGTCAAGGGGGTCTACCATGAGTCTATCACAATATGTTCACAATTTTTCAGGTCCTAAATATTATTGAAAAAAGGAATTTTCTTGATCTTTTGTGTGCTTCAACTTGTTGCATTGACATTTAACATGCAAATGTAAGTATGATCTTGTGTAGATTTGCAAATGCAAGCATCATTTCACTACACTTCAACTGATCAAATAGATTATTTTTCTATTACACATACACATGTAACACAAACTCACATACAGGAATACTGCCCAATGCAAGTTAAGAATTATAGAGCTCACTAAAGGAGACTGGAAACATAAAACCGAAAGACCAACAAAATACCTCATCATCCAGATTTCCTGAGGAATTCTGCACTTGGATGGGGAGCAAATTGTGAGGAATTGCTTGAGCAGTCTCTACAAAATCCTGCATGAATGTTTCATTTATAAATCAATCAATACAATTATTTGCAAATCAGTGATTTCACCCAATGAATGAATGTCAAGGAACCACCACAAACAAAATGAATACCTAAGTTTGGTGATAGATTGGTGTTAATCTCTTTTTCTCTCTTGTCTAAGACCACATCATTAATTAATTACCCACAAATTCCAGGTAAATTACTGATTCCACTCTAATCATCACTACTTAATAGGTTAAGCATGCAATTTTTAATTTTTTAATTTTTTTATATTAAAAGGCCAACTACATTGATTTTGACACATCATACGTTATTCACAAAATGTCAAACATAATGGCCTCAAAATCAACTATTGTATGGCTTTCAACAAAGCAGGCACAATTTGGAATTAAAAGTGAAAAAGGAAAAGAAAAGAAAAATTGTATTACTCAAAATTTCTAAAACGGAATTCTTTCCTCCATCAATTGAAAATTGCATTACCTGTCCATTTGGTCTCATGAAATGATTTTCAGAATTCAAATGTCCGGGCTTGGTCTCTTCTGGGCTTCCCTGATGATTGAAAATGAGAGATAGTCCAGTAAATCATGCCACATTGAAGTGTCAACAATCTAAGGGTCTTGGTTAGTTGGTTTAAACTGCTACTACAGATGAAAAGCTATACTTTATACAAGACTACAAAAAATTGTTGTTTAGAAAGATGCAATAATAAGAACATTATTGTAATATACCTGCTCATCCTCACTGGCATCTGAATTTTCTGGTTCGGCGGTTGAAGGCTTAATATCCATTGGAGTTTCCTGCAGGACTAAATAAATTAATTTCCAAAGCAAATTTAGGGGAATTTTTACGCACTAGTTTCATTTTAAAGAAGGTTGTGTTCCCAAAAATAATACATCAGCTGTCCATTTACGTACCGGTTCATTTGGATCAAACTGAACATTCCTCCCACCTTTTGAAAGATCTCTTAGAGTTCCCTTGAAATTAAATCATATAATTTGAAATTTTTAAATGACATCACAGAGAACAACATTACAATAAATTAGAGTGCACATCACATTCCAGTATGTATGACAATGAAGATACATTTGATTTCAGCTTTTCAAGCATGTCATGTGGTGTGGTGGCAGTGATATTTCATTTCATCAAAGCCATTCAAATAGGAATTTGCTAAGTAGCACTTTCATATTCTCATGTAGAATCCATGACAACCAGAGGGGTGAGTAAGCATACTCAGACAAAGACCCCATCCAGCAGAGTTGTTAAGACAGTGCTATAGCTGACTCCGTCCAAAGAGTAGAAAAGAATGAAACAGTACACCTAAAAATCATCGACCTAAAATCAAGGACTATCATATAGAATACTCCTTATATTTTCAAGCAAAAGTTTCTCCAGGCTGTAAAGTAACTAGCATAATTAAAGGGCACAACCACACAACCAAAGATATTATCTGCAAAATTTAACCTCATAATCAAGCTTCAATGTTTCCAAATATGCATCATTAAATGTTCTAAGAACAAGTAATTCGGATAACTAATAAAAGGTCCATAATGAACGAAGCAATACAACTGCTAGACCTACCTTGTTTGCCCACATAAGGCCACAAGCATTACAAAGGGTTCTGGGACCTGCTGGTCCTCGACGCATTGCTGGAGTTAACTTCTCACTTATCCCACAATGTTGACATCTGCGTGAACTGATAAGACATCCAACAACGGAGAAGCACAATGAAACTAAGTGCCATCCTCAGCAATAATAGAAAGATAAGCTTAAAACTCACGCAGATTCAGGAGGGGTGCTATCACTTGGATCCGAGCTACCAGTAGGCACATTGTAACCCTCCTTTGACGAAGCAAATTGTCCATTCTTACGATGCATCCTAGCAGATAAAAGAGAAAAACAGCATATTTTGGTAACAACATATCAGATAAAGTTGTAGAACACTAATTCCCTGTTGCACACATATCCTATGTGCTGGCTGCTACCATCAACATGACATCATGAGGCCATTAAAGTTCAATTAAGTTATCCCATGAATTCACTAACAAGTCAACTACTCAAGATATACCTCCAAAGTCCAAATTATAAAGAAAGGATCTCCATTATGGAAATTGAATTATAGATACATATATATTAAAAATTACTATAGAAATCAATTAGCAGGCCTCAAAGACAGTCAATCTACAATGTAGTTAGAATTCATACTGAATTACTGACTAATCAAAGGTTGACAACCCACCTTTTAATTGGTCACTATTAAGGTACCTTCACATTTTTCAAAGGTTTTATTAAATTAGACCTCAGCAAGCTAAACTGCCTCCAGCATCACTTGACCTTTCCAGATTGAATAACTGGAAGAAACCTATCTCTATATGGTTGTTACAGTTCAACATCCTGAAAACCTAAAATAGAAATGTAACTAAGCTTAGTTTATGTGGTACAGGACCGTCACATTTTTAGCTCAAAATTTCCAAAGAGCATCACCTGTTGCCAACCATTGTATTATCATCTCTAGTTTAAGCAAGATAAGTTCAGAACACATATAGCAATGATGTCTTGGACAAAGAATCAATCAATCGTCCAGAAGGCCAAAGTTAAGACATTAACAAGCAACTTGATGAAGGAGAAACTCATCAGGAGACTTAAGTTACAACAGTTATGTGCCAATGATGAAAATGACTTGGATTAAGACTTCAGTTAAACATTTTTTAGAGGAATATAAGTTATATAAAAGGTGAAAAGAAAGTCTTGCTTAATATCTGAAAGAGGAGGCCTCGTTGATATTTATGCTAAAAATCATGAACAAATTAGGCAATATACCTCTGAGCAACCTCTTTTCTGCACGTATACCGAATTTTCTTTTCAAAGCATCTCTCCTTTCGCTTTTCACGGAATCTTACCAGTGAAGCAATTCTTCGTGAATGCTTAGAGCCTCGTGAAGAATCACCTACAACCTTGTGCATGTTATAAGAAAACATTAAGGATTATTTGTAGAAAGAAATTTATATGTATTAAAGTAATACTGATACAGGATACCTTGACCTTTTCTTGTAGTAGAAACTCAGAGCTTGGCAAATGAGTTGATGCATCAGGTCCTCCCAGCAGTAAAAGAACTGCTTGCACCTGCCAGAAAATCAACAAAAGACACCAGAACAACATCTTTTATACACAATGGCAGGTAAATGTGTAGATACTAACCTTTGCAACTAAATAAGCATAAACAAGATATTTAATCATGCAATGAAACAATCACATTAAAACCAGTGTAAAAACTCAAAACTTGCTAGAATTTAACCAAAGATATCCAAATTCATCTAATTTTGAGTTTGGTTTTGCAATTAGATAGAATGACAGAGAAAAAAAATATGGACTTCACAATTTCACACCCTCAGGGCCAACTAAAAACACTAATACCATTTCTCCTTTCAACATTTCAGGAAAGGAAGGAAAGAAGCCAAACACCGAAAACTCAGTGAGTTTTCCATCATTTCGTCCAAAAAATAAAAAATAAAAACAGAGCATTCAGGCTTTCATCTATCCATTTTTCCTGGCTAGAAACACAACACTACCAAATAGAACTCGATAATGAGATAGAGAGCCCCTAACCTTTTCAGGCGTAACCGCCGGGAAGACATAGACCTCTCCTTCAAATGCGACGGTGAGCTCACTGGTTCGATTAGCCTGAAGAAGACTACCGTTACTGTCGTCCACTGAAGTAATTACCCCATTCATGATTCCTTCACGGAACCCATTAATTTCCTCTCCCTGGAGTCCTCCCCCGTTCATTCGCATCGTATTCTCTCCATCTTCAAAAGGTCTCGCCTGCAGCGGCTGCGCCTTCATCATATCCAATCTCTGTACCATAACACACTAACACCCCCAACCCCAAACTCCCTCCCCTCTAAACCTCTGACACTCCAGACCAAAACCCAAAACCCTAACCCTAAATTCGATGGAGAAACATGGATAGAACCTACAGCTAACTCTCAAAATTGGTGGTTAAACCCTAGAACACAGGGATTTGCCTGGTTCCATGTGAAGATTAAAGGAGTAGTCGACAAAATAAGAAGCAAAATTTGGGAATTTATGGTTTTGATGCCAAAAGTGAGATGGAACAGAAGCACTCTTCTCTTCTGGCGTTACCTAGAACAGACTCCATTGAGCCAATATGGAAACAGACATTTCAGTTCTCAAAAAATCACTACAAAAAAAAAAAAAAAAAAAAAAAAAAAAAAAGCTTTCTTTTCGAGCAAAACTAATGTTAAGCCCCTGAACAAGCCTCAGATTCACTATTGAGCTCATAAACTTTAATTGATGAATATAAGCCCCTAAACTCCACTATCTAAGCAATTTATCCTTTATTCTTACAGTAATTTAGCTCTTATTCCTATGGTAGTTAAAGAATTAAAGGCTAAATTGCTCGGATAGTGAGTCCAGGGGCTTATATGCATCAATTAAAGTTTGGGGCTCAATAGCGAATCTGAGGTTAGTTTGGGGGCCTAACATATGGTTTTGCCTTCTTTTGGGATATCTCACATGGTAGCTCCTTAACTTAGCGCATTTTCTCAGTTTCTCCCTATAACTTATTTTGGAGCACATTGAGGATAAATATGTGGAAAAAGACGGATATACGAAAAGGGCAAAAAAATTGGTTTTTTTTTTTTTTTTAATACTACTAAAGCAATGACAAGCTTTCTTCTTGTTCAAATCTACCAAATTACTAAGATGTAGAGTAGGGAAGTTAATCGGATGATACATCAATAAATATATCATATTCACATTAATTTGTTCAATTTATTTATTTCGCTTACATAAAAATTAAAATCAAAGATCTAGTACAAAAAGCTTGTTATGTATTTATATTATAAAAGCAACAACTCATTTATTTCCTTTATCTACCATGCAACTTTAGTGTTAGGAAGCAAATCAAAAAATTACTTATCTCACATGATTCTAGTGATTTAATGACTAGAAAACACATTTAAGTGCAAAATTTAAGAACAAAACTAAGTTTAGGGACTAGCTTAGCAGTTGGTTTTTTAAGTAATAATGTGGAGGACGAAAATTTAGAATAAAAATTTGAAACTAATAACATGACGTAAATCATATTATTAAATTAATTAATATATATATAATATTATTAGTTTTAAAATGTAAAAAATTAATTATTAAATAATATAAAATTTATTTTTTAATATTTTAAATAACTTGAAGTAAATTAAGTGTCTTAAATTTTAGTCTTATTTATTTATTATTATTATTATTTTCTCTTTTTAAAATATTGAATAACCTAATTCTAGTTCTCCTTTCCCTCTTTGGACTTCTGCAAAGGTTAGTGAAGGAGAGTCAAAAGTGGGTGGTAGGCCCAGCTAGGCCTCATATCGAGAGCTAGGTTGTCTTGATCATTAAAAATGCATCCAATGGTAGAGAGAGGTTCGTCATGTTGTACCGACTAAATTTACTGTTTATGATAAAGGGTTTTTTTAACACGTGAGTGTTGGAAATTTTACCGTGGGTTGTTGGAATTATATTTGGTTTTTAAAATTAGGTCAAATGAAAAATTGATAAAATTTAATAAAATTATGTGATTTAAGTGGATGTAAATTTTATTTTAATTTTATATGGTATAATATAAATGGATATAGGATCTGAAATTAAAAGTGAGTTATTTGATGTAGGTGCCCAGAAAATTATTATAATGGGTTCAGTCATCTTTTCCATTTAGAATACTCTATCTTTATAAATAATGGAGTGAGAGAGTGATACAACTCATTGGTTGTCACTATATAAAAGTTGAATAAGGAGGGAAAGACATAAATCTCAATATTAATTATATTTGTTTTGTAAGTTTTTTATCATTAGATTCTTAATTATGATGATTCTTAAAAATTTTTTGAAGATTTTTAAATAATATATTGATTATGAAAATTTAGATACATAATTTATTTATTTTATTAGATCTTAATATCCTAAATTCTAGTTGGTCCTTAAAATTTTAACATATGGTTTGAAAGCAGGTTATACATAAGTTTAGGATCCAAGAATTTATTTTATAGTATTTTGTTTGTTGTTCGACAAATTAAGAAAGCCTGCATCTTTTGGGCGTGCATGATTAGTTAAAATTAAAAGTTTGGGTTTTATTAATAAGAGAATCTAAAAATAAATTCATATGAAATTTGTGTCAGATTCTACCATGCATAAAGAAACCATTAATCATAGTTTTTAGTATAAGCATTATTTTTGAATTTCGCTTTCTCTCATTCTAGATGCTGCAATCGTTTAAACTTGGTGTTGGACTACAATTCATGATGATTTCCAACTAGTGTTGAGATCTTATCTAGCATCAATAGTCTTTAATCGGTATTGATACATGAGGATTTACTCAATTTTATTAAATTCAACACATGGGCCTAAAAATTTAAAATTGATATTGTAATTTCATCAAATTATTATTCTATCATTATTTAATAGGAAGTGGTGATTGGGTTTGGAAGTTCATGGATTTTGGAGCAATTTGCGCAAAATAATTGAATTTTAGTGTGAAATCACTCAAGTTAGGGGTAAATAAATAAGGGATGAAAGAAGAAAACTAGATACTAATTAACTTGTTGTTAGGGATGACTAAACTGGAAATTTCTTATCTAGTCCCTAAATAATTTAAGTAAAATTATTGATGATGATTTAACTTTTGTTTAACATAATTGTCTCTAATTTTAAAAGTTTACAAAATATTTTAGAATTAGAGACACTACTGAAATAGTAATTATGAATGGTGATTATCAATGGTTATAAAGTGAAGACCAATGTTTTAAAAAACAACCTGGTGTTTGACCTATTTTGGGCATCGAATTTGGTTCAACCAGTTGAATCGATTCAACTGATCACACAAAAAATGATATTTTGAAATATTTAAGAAGTAAGAAGTAAGAAGTAAGACTTAATGCTAAAACATATAGTAATTATATAAATATTAAATAACTAAACTCTATAATCTTTATTGTTAACCTTTCAACTTTTTTAATTTATACATAATTAAAAATTGAATGTAATAATTAGTAATTTTATAAAAAATAAATAAAAATTTTAATTTAAATCTTTTTGATTAAAACCCCATTTTGGTCCCTCAGCTATTGTACGGACCCTTGTTTTGGTCCCTGAATTGAAAAAATCCCTAATTAAATCCATACTGTTTACCATTTTAACCTCAACTTGGTCTTTCCGTTAAAATGGACTTATGTGGACCGTTACTTGACGGAAAAAAGATGACAGGTTAAATATCTTGACACATAAGACTAACAATGAGATAAATTATAAAAATAAAATTATTAAATGTTAAATTATAAAGATAAAATTACATTTTTACCCTCATCTTCAACCACACATCACTTTCTTTCCTTCCTCCTTTCGTTGCCCCTTACTTTTCATCTCCAACCTCTTTCGTTGTTCATCTTCTTCCCCTAGATCCTTGTTTGCAAACTTGGGTTTTAATCCTCTCCTTTTCTCATCTCCTCATCATCTCTTTCCTTTCATCATTTATCATCTCCTCTTCGAAACCCAATGATATGCTGGGTTCGATTAATTGAACCCAGCAGATTGCTAGGTTCTTTGATCTGCTAGGTTCTCAAGAACCTAGCAATATGCTGGGTTCGAATTTTTTTTTATAAATATTTATGTTTAGAAGCTTGAATTTTAGGGATATTTTTGGGTTGCAGCTGATTATTTTGCTAATGAATATTTTGTTTGTGTGGGCTGTTCTCATTGAGAATTTGGCAAAAATTGGTTGAGAGAAAAAATTTACATATGGTTGCTTATGATTGGAGACTTTCTTACCAAAATACAGAGGTTGAACTTAGAGATTTGTTGAGTGGGTTCGATGGAACATAGTAGATCTACTGGGTTCGAAAGACTTAAAAATGCTTTAGTTGTTTTTTTTTTTTTTTTTTAGAATTTTGGAGAAGATGCCTTGATTTTTCTAGGGTTTTTGGGGAGGTTGAAAGAAAGAAGTTAAGGCGGTGACTGGTCTGGGGAGATTCTGGGTTTGTATTATTTTTTGATTTAATGTTAGAAGGTGTTAGGATTTGCAGAAGGCGAAAGGCAAGGAAGAAGAAGATGAAAGGGAAAAAAGGAAAATCAAAGGAAGAAGAAAAAAAAAAAAGGGAAAAGGAAATATTTTAAGGTTTTTTCTTGCCATTCATTGTTTTTTTGCCATGCTGTCATCTTTTTCCGTCAGGTAATGGGACATGTAAGTCAATTTTTAACGAAAGGACCAAGTTGGGGTTAAAATGGTAAACAGTAAGGACCAACTCAGGGATTTTTTCAATTCAGGGACCAAATTGGGGGTCCGTACAATAGTTGAGGTACCAAAATGGGTTTTAACTAATCTTTTAACATCAAACAATTTTTATAAAGAATAAAAAGAAAAGGAAAGAACAATATCATTAAATCAAATTTCATTTAATATTTAAACACTTAAAATTTTGAATCTTATCAAATCATTATTATTATTTATGCTTTTATTAAATAAACAATTTAAAATCTTACAAATAAAAGCTTAATTTAATTTAATAATATGATTTATAATTTGAGTTTAAAGGTATTTACTTTAATGTTGTTATCTTATTTTTAAAAGT